GGATTTTTTAAGTGTAGAAATGAGATGATATTTTTAAGCGATGAACAATTATGCAATGGAAAAGTTGATTGTAAAACTGGTAGTGATGAAATTTCATGTTCATATTTAACAATTAAACAACAAGATATAAATAATATTTGTTTTTATAATAATATTTATGAATTATATTGTAAATTTGATGGTTTAACAATTACTTTTGAATTGGATGAAAATATTAAAAAACTTGAATTAGAAGGAAATATTAAATTAAATATTACAAATGATTATTATAATCTACATATTTTAATCATTCATAACAATTTTGAATTGAAATCAATTTCTCATCTCTTTATACCAAATATTTTTGTATTTAGATATTTCATTTAATAATTTAAATAATTTTAATTTTCTAACACATTCAAAATTACAAATTCTTCAAATTTTAAATATTTCAAATAATCCATTAAATATAATGAATTTTCCAAAATTATTTCAAACAAATAATCTTTTAAAATTAGATTTTTCAAATACAACAATTTTACATTTAAAAATGGAATCATTTAAAATTTTAAAATTTTTAAAATATTTATCATTTCAATATTGTAATATAAAGACAATTGAAGAAGATAATTTTAAAACATTAAGTAATGTTGAAACATTTCTTATAAGAAAAACATATACTTCAACTACATCTTTATTACAAATTATTGAAAGTATGATGTCATTAAAATATATTGAAAGTGAATATTTTCAATTATGCTGTTTGAGTTGGAAAATATTGGGAAGAAATATAACTTGTATACCAAATCCACCAGTTTTTTTAACGTGTCACAATATAATTCCAACAAATATTTTAAAAACAATATTTTGGGTAATTGGAATATCTGGTGTTTTTGGAAATTTTTTATCATTTATAATAAGCATTAATATTAAAATACCAGCAAAAAAAAATAGTTGATTTATACTTTTCAGGTAATAAATATATATATAGAGAACAATTATGGAGAGATAGTTTACTCTGTTCAAGTTTGGGAACAACTTTAACATTTTCATTATTATTTTCAACATGTATGCTATTACTTATAACAATTGAAAGATACGAATCTGTTTCAAATCCTTTTAAAATACCATTTATGATTAGTTATTAATACCTACTTTTCATTTCGCTACTGCTGATCTGTATTTTAATTTCGTTATTACCTGTAATTTTATATGATGTATGTTGAAAATAATAGCCAGTGGATCTGAGAAAAAAAAATGACCCTATTTTTCTGATATTTAACCCTAACACTAACCCAGCCAGTTAACAACGCATCTTTACAATTTAACTGCCAAAAACCTTACCTTAAAACTTTAGCTTTAAATGGGCCATTTTCTCTGCCAGACCCAAATTCACAGGTGTGTTTTCTATCATCTAATTTAATTTATACAATTTTCAGAAATTTTACAAAAAATCAACAATTTGCTTCAATATACCAATTAGATCTGACAAGTCACGTGGTTGGCTATTCTCATTGTATACTTTTGGTGTATTGCTATTTCTACTTAGTTTAATAATTTCAATTGTCAAATCTACATACTCTATGAAAAGTTTGATTCAAAGAATGAAGAAAATGAAAAAATTGATATATTAAAAATTGGAAAATTTACAAGAATGCTCTTAATAAATATAACTTTAATAAATAAAAGTTAAATCTAAGTGAAACTTATGTTTTAATCAGATTTTGTCATTTCTCTTTTTGTTTTTTAATCAAATAAATTCATAAATTGAAAAGAGTCGATAAAATGGATCTTTGACAACTTTAAATGTTGCATCAATGAACCAAATTTTACAGCATTTTCTTCTTAGTGATTTTAGTTCTGGCAAGTCTTCAATATTGTCTTTAAATTTTAGGATAATATCTTCTGCTATTCTTTTAATAGTTTTTTCATTGTCACCATTTATCATTTCTTTCAAGTCCATTTTTGATTCAATACAACAAAGTACAGAAGGCTTCTACAAAAAATGTAACTCATTCTTTTGGAAATTGAACATCATTCTACACAATTGTTCAAAAGTTGATACATGAAGGAGATCTAATTAATGTCTTTGAAGTTTGGGAATGTTTTAAAAGATCTGAAATAAATGCTTCTCAACTACTGCAACTTTGTTGTTTAATTTATCATTGATAATGTGTGATTTTTGATGTTTAAAATGAATAAATTTTATACAGTTTAAAAATTCAAATAAAATCAATTGAAAATTACATTTTATGTTGAAAAACTCTGTTTTTTTTTTAATTAAATGATCCATTAAACAAAATCTAATAAGTCAATTTTGTTTATTTTTGAAATATTATGAACTTATATTGCTATGGTTCTAATTTCAAAATTTAAAAAAATTTGACTAATTAGAAAAAAAGTTGTATGACTTTTATTTGAAAATTAACCCTGCAAGAGTCATTGAGCATTTTGAACAATAGTCTCTTAAAAATTTTTGTAATTTTCTTAAAATATATTCAATTACTCAGAGATTGTTAATTCTTTCTTTTCAATAGCATCTTTCTTGCAATTTTTCCAAGTGAAAGTAAATCTCTTTGCTTGCTTTGATCATTTGCATATGAAACGGAAACATATTTTAGTTTGTACTTTCTTAGTCCAAATTCATTTTTCTGTTTTGTTAACAAAAAAAAAACAATACAAATTTAGAGAGAATATCTCATGAGTTTTATTGTATAGGGTTACAACATGTAAATAAATTGAACTCAGTTCAAATTCTCCATTAAATGATAATAGATTATGATGTGAAAATTGAATGGCTTGACAAATACTTTGCAAACAAATTATACATTCATTGTTCATGTAAAATTCTTTGTTATGTTCAAGAGGAGTATAATTCATTTCCTTGCATTGACATCTAAGAAATTTTCCATCAACATTAACTAGTAAACTACAATCTAAATTAGTAAAATTAAAAAAAAAGTAATAATAATAATAAAGAAAACAAGAAGATTAAAAAAAAGAACTTTTCTCAATGTACTCAGTAATACATCTATTCAAGTCTGAGGCTCTTAAAAAAAGGAAAATGATGATCATTGTCTCTCTCTCTCTCTCTCTCTCCCTCTCTCTTACTTACAAATATTCCTTTTTCTCTTCCCATAAACTTTTTAAGAAACTTTTGAAATGAACAATTGAATAAATGAATGGATTTATAATTGAGTTGATTGGCAAAAGGGTAATAGCTATACTTGTATAGGAATCAAGATCAATATTTATTGTTGCAAATGTTGCAATAAAGCCTAGATGGAGTTGGAAAAATACACCTTTTTTTTTAAATTTAACTTTTTAATTAATCACCTAAAAGTGAAATGGGAAACCATGATAAAATATTTGACATTGTAATAACAAAGGCTGTTTTTAAAATTTTCTCCTTTCTCTTAAGATATTCTTCCTTTGAAAGAATATCTCTAGATTTAAATATTACTTTTGCTATATCAACATATAAAGCAGTATTTAAGGCTGAGCATAGGAATACAAATACTCCATGAATTAAAAATGAATAAAGCCAACCATCAATTCTTTCACTTCTTATATGTAAAGAATAGCAAATGGATGAAGCTGAGTAGTAACTCTAAATTATTGGATTGGCAGAATGATTCATTAAGAAAAACTCTCTGCTTTTGCTTACTTCATAAATATATAATGGAAGGATTGAAGCAACAATTCCAAAACAAATAAAGCCTATACACATACAAATCTTCTTTTTTGGTGTAATAAACTTTGAAAATGGTTTTGTTATGTAAAAATGTCTTTCCACTGTTATAAAAGTAATACTCAGTGTGGATAAGACTATTGAAAAACTGGAAAAACATCCAATAAATGAACAAACGATACTCTTCCTCCACTGTAAATCGTAATTTATATAATTTCCTCTATAGTATATATCAATTACTGCTATTGTGAGGAAATATAAACTGGTACATAGATCTGCAAATGAAAGATTCATATAGAAAAGCTTTGATGATTTTGTATTGCTTTTGAAATGGAAATAAAATGATAAAACATTTCCAAAGGAACCAAAAACACCAAAGAAGCTAACAATTGATTTCCATGCAACTGATGGTAATAATTCTTTACAAGAATGTATTAGAGATCTATCTGGTAGACATTTACTCAAATTTTTATAATGAACCTCAGCCAAAGAGCATAATTTATAAACTGTTCCATAGATAAATTTTAATTGGGTCATTTGTTTAAAAATGCTAAGTGATACAATATCATCAGGTATCAAAGTATCACTAATGTTCAATGTATGTAAACTGAAGAAATATTGAAAAGAATGTTTTTCAATAGAATAAATATTGCAAAATGCAAAAGATAAAATTTTTAAATTATTTAAATTTTTAAAAAAATCATTTGGTATAAAATTCAAATTTGTATTTGATAAATTTAAATATAAAAGTGATGGGAAATTTTTCAATGTTGTTTCTTCAAAAATTTTTAAATTTCTATTAAAAGTTATACTCAAATATTGAACATTTAAAAAATTGATACTAAAATTATTGAATGGTAAATATTCAATTTTATTATCTTTGAAATCAATATGGAAAACATTTGGGAATTTTATGATTATTTCTTGAAAATTTTTTACATTTGTTGAATATATTTTTAAAATTACAATTGTTTTATAAATTCTTGATGTTAATTTTAAAAATTTTCCAATTTGATCAATTAACAGTATTCTATGATCAAAATTGTCCAAATGTAGATATTTCTTATCATTTTTATGATTTTTACCACTGCAATTGAGAAGATATTGAGGATTACAACTACAAAATTGAGGACAGGATATTAGTGTCTGATTGCAAAATTCCTCATCATTTCCTTCTTTACAATGAATTATATTGTCGCAAATGCGACTTAGATTTATAAAGAGATGCTGTTTGTGGCATTTAAAGAATCCTTTGGGATAGAAACTGTCTTTGTTGAATTACAATGTTATTACGTAATGCGCAAATTATTTTGTCGATACTACGAGTATACTAACTACATCCTATTTCATCGTCTCCATTCGGACAATGAGGAACATTATCGCAAACTTGTTCAATTGAAATACAATAATAGACTGATTGGCATTGGTAATATCCCATTTCACAAACAATCTCAGCGCTACAATTCCTAATTGTTGTTAGTGGTATATGTATCTTTGAGATCATTCGTCCCATAGAGTTGTATTCGATGTAGCACGGTTTAGTTTCTATTCTTTTTATACTTTCTTTACACTGATCTTGATTATAATACTGGCAATCTTTCTCATCAGTACCGTATTTGCAATCTTGATTTAGGTCACACTTTAAATGCTTTGGAACACATTGTTGATTGCATAAAATATGTTCTTTAGAGCAAACTAAATTTCTAGAGTAGTCTTGTTTTTCATCGCTTTCATCAAGACAGTTTTTTTCGTCATTTAGCATTTCTTCAACCTTGTAGCATTGGCCATTGTCACATCAACATTAAGGAAGGAAGGAAAAAGGAAGAAAAATGTAAAAATTTAAGAAGAAAATGAAGGTTCTCTCTCTCTCTCTCTCTCTCTCTAAATACCTTCTCTCTTCACAATTGTCCCTGTTCATCTTCTGCATTTTCACAATCATTTTTAAAATCACAAACAAACTGAAAGTTAATTTCTTTCATTCCGCAAGCAAATTTTGCAGTTTGTGAACAATTTTCTTTGTCTTCTTTTTCTTTACAATCTTGAATTCCATCGCAATAATTTTTTATATTTATGCAAAACATTGATTTTTTACAAAGGAATGAGTTGAAAGGACATTTAAAATTTTTATTTGTCACTGATACAGGAATGATTTCATTCAATTTACTTTCACTTTTGATATCTGGAAAAGAGTATGGATTTTTAGGCCTATAAATAGTACAATACAATGATAAATGTAAAAATATACTACTCAACTATTTCGGACACATAGAAAGAATGTAAATTTTTGCCTGTCACACAATACTCCATTTATCTTTAAAGATTTATAATAATTTGTATTATAGATTATCTTGTCGACAATCTCATCAAATTTGACATGAAAACAATTGTTATTGAGTCTAAAGGAAAACAGTTTCTTGAATTGATTTGATTGAAATTCTTGTATAGCTGAACAAGCATCACTGAAAAAATATTTCAATTTGAAAATTGAGTACTAAAGCAATTTCAAAATATATACACCTGGCTTTTGATTGAATGAAAGACCCTATATAATTTAATAGCGTCCCATCTTCAGTTAATGTATGATATCTGCCTTTATTATCAACGATTTGTTGAAAAACTAGATAAGGAAGATAATTTCATCTTAGCTCGATACGGTATAAAAAGATGATGATGATAGTACGAGAATACCTTCAAGATATTTTTCAGCGTTTGGAAGTATTTAAAAATGATAAATCTATCCAATTCTGATTTAGAATTGGCCATTGTACTATTCATTTTTCTGCATATCTCTCCAGCCATATTTGGTGAATAGAGAGTATTGGCTATTTCTCCTCCAAAATTTACATAACACCTATTGTTAATAATCTTGTCTGAATTTTTGCATTCTTTTTTTAAAGAGATATACAACGAAACGTCATTCATCGAATAAATCACTTCAAGTTTGTCATTTGATTTTTCTACCTGTTACTGGTTGATTTGTACATTTCACAAGAAAATGGCCGACTTGGTTTACATTCTTAATGCTTTGTAAAAAGAAATCGATAAATAATGAACAATACAAAAAAACAAAACAAGAAAACAAACTGTGGTGCAATGTCTGAAACTTCTAGGCCATACTCTGATCCTTTGGATTTAAAATCTCTACATGTCGACAGACATTCGTCCAATGGTTTCATATGATTCTATCAACAAATATATAACCTCCATTAAAACCCAACTTTTGACAAACATTAGTGATAAATTCATAGGTAAGATTATGTTCACAAACGTTATCATTGAATAAACACATTGCAATGCAAGGTTTTTGATAAAAAGTCATGTAATTATTAAAATATTTTAGTTCTTTGCTGAAAAGCTAAACAAACATAATGAAAATAGGGAGAAAATGCTGAATATTTTACTTTATTCATATCCAAATTTATGTATTCATTGGTAGGCCTAAGTAGTTGACCTACTTTCCAAATTCATCTTTTAAATGTATAATAGAAAAAAGTTGATAAAAGAAGAAATTTTGTTTGTATAGAGATGAATTTGTTGTCAATTTTATGTTTGACAAAATGCAGCAATGTTACAATTTAAAATTTAAATCAAGGGAAACAAAGTCAATACAGGAAAAATTAACTAAAACTTATTTCATACCGGAAGTATTTGCGCAATTATGTTCAAAACAAAGTTATTTCGATTATATCTGCATAGGAGGATTAATAAATGAGACAATTCAAGATTATCATCAAGATCAGCTTGTCAATCATTTTCAAACTTTAAATCTTTATAGATTTAAAAAATGTCAAAATAACTTTTTTCTTTGCTCAAATATGATTTGTATAAATCCTCTATACATGTGCGATGGAGATTTTGATTGTTTAGACGGAGGAGATGAACTCAATTGTTCTTCTACTTATACAAATTTTAAGTGCAACACTGACAAAATATTTATTAACCTTCAACTTGTCTGCAATCATGTTTCAGATTGTCCAAATGGAGAAGATGAACAATTTTGCAGTAAGAGATTAAACCTGTTTGAAACAATTTAAATTTTTTAATTGTATTTGTTTTTTTATGTTAAAAAGTGAGTGTTTCCTGTTTGGAGGATGAGTAAGTGTGTTTCAATACACACACACACACTTTTCCTTATTCATCATTTTTTTTTTTAAAAAAAAAGGAAAAAATGCCTGAATGGACAATGTTTAAGAAACAATCAATTTTGTGATTCAAATGTAAATTGCTTTGATAAATCTGATGAACTTTGCTCTAAAAAAGGCATTTTTAATATAGATTCTCTCAAAGAAATCAAATTTTTGACTGTTCAAAATGGAGAATTGAACGTTTATCAAAAGGAAAAATATTACAATGTTGTATTTTTAAAATTTAACAATTTAACAAATAATCATCAAATGTTTGGTGGAGAATGGAAAATTTTGTCATTATTTCCAAATATAGTTGTCCTTGACCTTTCAAAGAATAATATAGATAAATTCAGCATATTATTAAATTATATTAAACCTAGAAATATAAGAAATTTATCTTTAAGTGAAAATCCTTTAAAATATTTAGATTGGAATTCGAACGAAAATTTTCAAGTATTAATTTGTTTGAATTTGTCAAAAACAAAAATTCAAAATATATCAATAAATACTTTTCAAAATTTTAAATCATTAAAAATACTCATCTTTACAAATAATTTCTTGAAAAATATTGATAAATTTTCATTAAAACATTTGAGTAGTGTTGTAGAATTTCATATGAATAAATCAATTATTTCGCAATATTCATCTTTTCAACCATTTTTAATTTTAAAAAAAAATATTTATTTAGAAAAATTTTTTTCAACTGAAGAAAGAATTTGTTGTATTCTAAAACATTTGAAAGATGACAATTGCCAGCCAAAAACTCTTTTATCACATTTTTGTAGTAATTTGATACATTTTCAATTTTTAGAAATAATCATATGGCTTCTAAGCATTTTTCATATTTTTTCATTCATTTTTACACTCTACAATTGGATTTTTATATTAAAAAAGTCCATTGAAAAAACACACTATTTTTTAATTTTAATTTTTGAAAATTTTCAAATATATTACTTTTTCTCCATTTTAATTTTAAATATTCAAAATAGAAATGTATTTTATACTATTGATTTAATATTTATGAAAAAGCCAATTTGTATATTCTTACAACTTGCTTCCGGTGTTTCAACAAGTATTATAGGACTGATTTACTGTTGCATTCTGAGAAGTTTATTTAGAGATAGTAAAACATTTAATAATTGGTTTTTTACCAGTTTATATTTAGTTTTGCCATTACTTCAATTACTGAAATATACTCTACTCTTATGGAATTTTTTTTCAGTTAGTTTATAAAAAAATATAATTTTGAACATGGAAAATATTTTTGAACAAAAATTCAAATCTTTCTAGTTAGATGCATTTTCATTGTCAAAGTACTGTCTATATTTTCATATTAGAATTAAAGAAAACTCCTTAACTAACCCATTCTTACTTTGTTTTTTCTTTTTAATAATATTCGAACACGTGCTATTTATCATAATTACCAGTTTTACAATAGCTACAAAATCAAAAACAAAGATTGACCTTGACATTAGAAAGCATTTAATTGGTAAAATACTTTTTTTTACATTTCTACTTTTCAATCAAATTTTCAGCAACTTTATTGTAAGTGCAAAAAAAAACTATCAATGTTCAAACATTTAAATTTTTCAATAGAAAAATAATAATATTTTTTGAACAGATGTCGGAAATCATTTTTCAAATTTTACAACTAATTTTGCATTTGTTTGGTAATTTTGTATTTTCTTTTTATTTTTCACTCGTATCTCTAATTAAGACGATGAAGAAAATTTGGAAAATGGAATCTAAAAAGTAAATTACAGATTATAATTCATTTTTAGAGGTCAACAGATTTTACAAGTGCAGATTTAAACCAAAAATTTAGCAGACAAAAAATTTAATTTTTTATAAATTGATGAAAAATTCAAAACTCTTGCTCAAAATATCCTCAATTAAGCAAAGTAAAGCTAGGCTGAAATTTTCAACAACATTAATTAAACATGTTAAGAAACCAAAAGCTAATATCTGAAAATCCTTTTGTATTTTCTGTAACCTTGAGACAAAATTTTCACTCTTTATTCATTTAAATAATGTAAATAGAGAAAAAATCTTTAACACATGGAGAAGGTCTTTTGATATTAAAAGTAAGAAAGAAAGAGAGATAGAATTCAAATATTAACAAATCCAATCAAAATTTTTACAGAAATGACATACCTGAAAGAAAAATGCAATAATAATATATTATGCAATTCTTTGACTCATTATTATCAACTGGAAAATATAATTACGTCTTTATCTTTTTATGAAAGATTCAAAATTTTGAAGAAAACGATTACATTACTAAATTTATGTCATATTGGAAATTTCTCCTTAAATGGAATGTTTACAGCCACAACACTTTCAATAAAAGTTGGAAAATATTTTTAAAAAAAACAAAAGTGTTGTAGATTTTTTTTTTCATCTTTTTCTTTTTAGAAGTCAAATGGAAAGTTTTTCATTGTTTTTCCAATAAAGAGCATTGTTGTGAAAGATGCTAAAAATTGTAAAAATGATATTTACCATTTTGGTTTAATAGTTCAAAATATTTTTAAAAAAATACAAGAGGAATTGACTTAAATAGGTTGTTCTCTTTTTTATCACAAGTCCCAAAATATATGGGTTTTACCCAATTATTTTGTCATTTTGTTAAGCATTGAACTTAACTTTTATTTGTCTTTTTTTTTAAGTATCCTAAACCAAATCCATTAGCCATAGTTGCTCTAGAAAGGAAAGTAGAATTTAGTTGTTTCATTCTTAAATAGGCAACAAATTATTTAGAACCTTAAAAAGGCTGAGTCAGCAGAACTAGTGGCAGTAATTGGTATCATATTATAATAGAAAAAAAAAACACTTATCAATTTCAATATTTCATTTTTGCCTATAAACATTTCACAATCAAGTGTAACTAATTGCAGTATGAAGTTTTTCAATTTTTCTATCAGGACATTTGCTCTTCAACTGATAAAAAAATTACAATAAGCTGATGTCATCCTAATTCTTGCAAATCAGAGAACAATTGTATTCTTTTTTAAGAATTTCTAATATTCTGGAAAAGTGCTTACCTTTCATTAAAAAGACATTATCTTCAAGTATTTTTAGAACAGATAAAAACAATGGGAAGGATAATCTTTAATGAAAATTTGACTTTGGTCAGTTGGCTTTTATTTTTTTTAACTTTTCCTAGTCTTTCAAAATGTGAAATATACACAACTGTCTAAAGTTGAAAGTGAAAGTTCTGGGACAGATTGAAAATGATCATAAATGAAATATTTCAAGGTTGGATTTTGGGTTGGCAAATGGTTAGGAAGGATAAGCTAAGCATTGATATGTACTTATAGGGGTTCAAAAAGGTTAGACAATTACAAGGGCTTAGCTATTTCTCTTTACTTTCACTAACCCTTAATTCAGACCCACCTAACAATAAAACAACAGTTGATTTATTTTTCCAAACCCAAATTCAACTTGAACCTTAATGGCAAATTTTCCCAAAAATGACCATTTTCTGTCGATTCCGATTTCAACATTTAACGGAACCTATATATTACAATAATCGTAAGCAAATAGATAGGACAAGTAGTTATCTAGTAATAATAAATTACTTATAAAATGTAAATGATAAGAAATAAATAGGTAATCAAGTAGAACCATTTTTATTAAGGATATTGCGCAATACGCAATATAAATTGATAAAATGCATGGTTAGAGTTTAATTTTTTTAGCAAAAACTGTGTAAAATAGATACAAAATGTTGATGAGTGTGTTCTAGCAACAATCTATTTGTAGTGATTAATATTTTGGGTTAAAGATCATTACTTCTAATCAGTTCATATCTTGATTATATAGAGATAATGGAGTAGAAATTTTTGGCTATATAAGAGAGTACCAAAAGTTTAAAATTCATGAAATTTAAATAAAAAGAGAGAGAGAGGGAAAGACTGGAAGATGAACAATTTTTTAATACATCTAGTTTGTGAGTACTATCATTTTCTGTCTATTGTGCACTTTTTAGAAATGAAAAAGTAATGTAATCTATCCCATTTTTTCTAGCTTTTTTCATTCTATTCCATATTGGTTTTGGAACATTTCAATGCCCTACTTTTGCAAATAAACAACCAATGGACGGAGTTTTTAGGGATCCAGTGTTTTGCGATATCTACTATCATTGCATAGATTCTACAGCCTATTGACGCACATGTCCGCCTGGTCTCTTCTTTAAAAATACAACTACAGATATTGATTCTGTAGATTGCGTTGAACCTAAATTTGCGAATTGCCCATCAAATCAACAATACTACTCTACAGATGATACGTATCCTCTGTGCCTTGCCTATCAGCAAGACATACAATCGCCCTGTTATAAGTCGACAGCAGAATGTACTCGAGAAAAAAACCACACTCTTGCTAGTTGGATAGATTGTAAAATGTATTTTCACTGTGTAAATGAAGTAGCTTGGCCTCAAAAATGCCCTAAAGACTTTTTATTCTATCCATCCATCAACAGAAAGACAGGTGTGGTCACCATGTGCACTGAACCAGAAAGGGCTATTTGTCCAGTTCTTGGGCAATGGTCTGAATGGTCAGAATGGACTAGATGCAGGCCATTATGCTCAGCGAAAGGAAAGCGAAAGAGAACAAGAAGTTGCAACAAACAAAATCCATTTCCTGAGAATCTTATCTGTTTAGGCCTATCGGTAGAAACGCAAAATTGCAGTCCATCTGCTTGTGAAAGTAATGGGGATTCCGCTTTTTCTGTGTCTTTAGTCAAACCTACAACTCTAAAAAATGGAAAAATTAATTGGACATCAGTTGATGTCAATCAACAAAATATTTTTGATTCAAATAGTCAAAGTTTAATTATAAGAAAATCAGGTATCTATTTCTATTCAATCTCTGCTACTACTGATGAAAATAGTCAAATTGATATGACTATGATGTTGGACAGTAACAATAGTATTGGTCTAAATAGAGGAAATGGTGTAAAAACAATAAATATGATAACAAGAAGTGGACTGATAGAGCATAGACAATCTGCATCAGTAACTTTACATCAAGGCGATGAACAATCAGATGTTATTTCAACTGACAGTGGCAGAGAAACATCGTGGCTCGGTTTTCGTTATGAAACGGAAGCGTACGTGTTTGCTGGCCGTCGAACTCCATTTACGTCGAATGGCCTTGTTATAAGTTTTCCAGAGATATTTCTAAGGAAAAACATTGGAGGAAGTTTGTCAAGTTTCAAAATTGAAAAGCCAGGTGTTTACTTTATAAATTTTGGAATTGGCGTTTTGCCTAAAGGATCTATAAAAATTTTAATACAACCAAAGAATGTTCTTACATCTTGCGGTCTATCAAGAGCGAATCCTTACGGTACTACTTACGATCAATTGTCTAGAAGTTGTCTCATCTATTTGTCTACAAATAGCATCTTGGCAATGGAGAAGACAAGAAGGGAAAATGGTTTATATTCTAGCAATGCTTTACAAACCTATTTTACAGCATTCATGCTTAATTCGACCAAACCATATATCTATTTGTTAATGGAGAGGAGAAGGATCTGCTCCCATCCTACATATGAGAATGTCCCATTAAAATTGATTCGATTAGACAACACCAGAGGAGCTTGGAATGCATTCTACAATACATTTACAGCGCCAGCTAGCGGAACTTACTATGTTGATTTAACTGTGTCAGTTCAATCTTTAAATACTCTCAATACCTACATTGATGTGAATGGACAGAAAATATCTAGCCAGATACAATCGTCAACAGAACATCCAAGTGCCGAGTTTTTAACAAAAGGCGCTCTTGTTCATATGAACAAAGGAGATATAATGGCAATTAAATACAAAGGATGCATATCATCTAATGATTTCCCTTCAAGTCTTGTAATTCTTTATCAATCTGAATTTTGAAATCGAGGCAAGGTGTAGCGCTGGGTTAGGGTTAGGGTAAAAACACAAAGTAATTTTTTAAATTATTTGATTTCTTCATACAATCTCTATTCATTCTCTTAATAAAGTCTGTAACATTCAGTTTGAATTGCAATCGTATAAACTCATTAGTTTTTTTAAATAAATTGAATGTGTTTTTTGTCCTTTTGAGGACATCTTCCATCTTTTGAAGACATTTTCTGTTGCCCACTGTGAATTCTCTTAGTTAATTGATCCTCTCCTGTCCTGGTCTCCGGGATGTTTATTCTCACCCTAGGACATTTTTCCCTAGGGATGTTTTTACAAGCTGTAGCAGTACAATGAATTTAATACACATTGATTGGTTTAGAGTGCAAATGGTACAATACCCTAACCTCCATTCAGTTTTCTTATTGACTAATCCATCTTTTAAAAACAAATCTCTATAGATTTATTTAGTTTCTTCTTCTTGATTCAAATTAAATGGATTCCCTTTAGAGCGAGAGTAATTAAAATAACAAATCTGCTTACATTTAGGATATAATGAACTTTTATTGTAAGCAAAAAAACTTTATCAATTATGAATATTTATATTTATTCACCTGCCTATCAACCTATTGAAATTTTAAATAAATCATGATTAACTGTAATCAATGAAGAATTTCAGGTGTGTGTGTTTTGATTAGTTTCCAAACTAGATAATCTCTTTTTGCTGAATTTTGATGAATTTTCAAGAATAATACTGCTCTACAATTAGTCATAGACATTCTTACAGATAAAATTTATTAAGACTAGGATATGAGTGAAAATAGATGACAATATTTCATCTTGATTGATTGAAATGACAGCATCTATTATTTATCTATATCAACTGTTTTTTATATACTTAACTATTTAATTGATGCGCTTAGTTCAATTTACATTATTTCTTAGTATAATTCAATAAATCTTGAAAAAGTTCAAGGAATATTTACTACTAAAAAAGTTTTCTCCAAGCAAACAATAAGTTGTCTATTTACTATTTTTTTTTTTGGAAACCAAGATTCAAAAAAATGTTTGATATTAATATCAAAAAAATTGTTCAAATTTTATATCTTTCTTTTCATCTTTATACTTTATGTATAACAACAGGTTGGTATTTGTTAAAATATTCAAATTGGTCCGGGACTCTAGCCTTATTTTTCTTGTTTGTGTTTTTTAGCCTATATCTATGAAAAAACTCTTTTTAGGTATTTAGCTGGATTTAATGTAATGGTTGAAGAATTTGGAAGTGATTCATATGGTACATTTACTATAGAAATTTGTAAAAAAGTCTGTGATAAATATACTATTTGCAAGTAAGATTATTAGTCTAGTTTTCTATTCAATTTTGAAAGATTTGTAAATTGTTCACCTTTTCCAAAAGAGGAATAGATTATTATGAAACCCAAAGTAGATGTTATCTTAATTCTGAAACCAAAAGTACAAGACCTCAATCTTTTATTACAACAACAATATATACTCATTATGAAAAAAAAGAAATTAAAGGTAAGCCTTTGTAATTTTCTTGTTTAACAAACATATCATAACATGATATGTAAGCCATAAGAACTCATCAACTTTTAATATACAAAACATTTATTAGCTTTGCTTTTGGGTTAATTAACTAAAATTTATTTTAAAAATCCTAACACTTTTTTAAATCATCATTGATCGAAGAATGAAATGCAACAATTCTGAGTATTATAAAGATAACAGCGAAAATTGCTTGTGGAGAGAGAGAAATCTTATCTCCCTAGTCATGTCATCTGATATATGAAATGTTAATGCCAGATGGAGCAAGATTTTTAAAAATTACTTATCTTCCTTTTTGATTTCTTTGTATAAGCTTTTAAAATTTGAGTTATCATTGAGAGCTTTATACTTCAAGGAGAGAGTATCATTTTCCATAGTTGAAGTTAACATTGATAGGTGCTAATGTTTCTAATTGCTATTTCATCAGATTTTTATTCTATTTATTCCACTACATTTTATCTCAATAAGTAACAACCAACATTGTTGTGTGCTTTTATACAACAAAAATAACAACTTGACTGAAAAGATGGAAGAAACAATTACTGAACAACATCCCAAGTCATCAATAAGTCAATATGAAATGAAGCAGAGAGAATGGCAAAACTTCAAGAGTCCTATGTACCAGATAATATGGTAAAGTTATACAATAGGTAGGAATGGAAGATTTATGTATGGATAGAGATTTTAAGGATATGCAAGTTTTTCCATTCTTACATCATATTACCAGTTTTGTTTTTTTTCTTATAAGAATAGCATTTGTACAGTGTGTACAGTTAACATATTCTTTGTACTTTGTTGTATTGTAATTGTAGGAATTTCTGCTTCTTCTGAACAGTATTTGTCCTTTCCAATCATTTACCAATGTGCCAAAGTACTCACACAAATAGAACCTTCCAAATTCGTCCACAAGTAGTCTTAAAAAATGTAATTTTGGTAGAAATTAATCAACAAAATGGCAGTATTTCATTTAAAGGATATGTATTGAGTAAATGAGTTTCTAGTTCTAAATTAGCAAGTTTAAACAACCAGTTAACCATTAAAGAACTGAACTGCCAAACTGGGGAAATGTATTTCCTTTTATACATTTACCAAAGCTTGGGTTCACTTGGTCAAAAGATTACAAAGTTGAAATGTAACAGTCTCACAATGCACATATAACAAAGACATAAAAAACTAATGCATCACTTCTGGCTAACATGTGGCACTGCAAAAATAAGCCTGTCTGTGTTTTTGAATAGGATGTAACAAGTTTGACATGAATTTTTTCTATATTGTTTGTTCCATTGTTAATTCTATAATGCAACACCTGTTTTGGTCAAAGAATATGTTTCCTACAAAATAAAAGCCTTTTTAAAGTTCTAGACTGTATTTTCTACCAAAATAAATATCTTTCTAAACTTCCCCCATTATAATTGCTATGAAATAAAACCCTTTCTAAAGTTCTATAATATCTAAGTCAAAATATTATTATGTTGATGTTTCTAAGAGCACAGAGAGAAAAACAATAAAAACATGACCATATTTAGAACTTTCCTTTGGTTTAAAATGTTACTTTTGTTTTTGTGAACATTGGAATTTGTCAAGCCATACTTGATTTGGAATCAAGTTAATACCACAGATATGGCACCATCAACATTGGTGAGTAGAGTCAAGTGCCTCATAGAATGACATGAATGAATTTGAGAAGGTATAAAAGGGGAGAAAATGAAGAGCACAGTGTGAGAGTAACAACAGGAATTGTAAATAAAATTGAAACAAAATTATTGAGTAATTTATTGATATGAGTTAACTTAAATCTTGTACACACAGTATTTAAAGTATGTGCTATTCTCTGTTGGTGGATCTCAAAGAGGGATACAACAGAAAACGTCCACAAATCAGTGCTTTTACCCTATCCCTAACCCTAACCTAAACCCTAACCCTAACCCTAACCCGTAACCCTTAGAGGAGACCCTCCTAACTACAAATCAGTTGCTGTTTTCTTCTGCCTAACCATTTCTCAATCCAAATTTTTTGTCTTGAAATTTTTCATTTGTGGATGTTTTCTATCGACCCCAAAGAATCTATTTCCTGCAAAATAGAAGTCGTTCTAAAATTCTATCATTCTAACTCCTAGGTAATAGAAGTTATTCTAAAGTTGCTTTATACTTAAAATCTACATAATATTGATATCGTCATGTTTAAATGTACAATAGCTATTTCTAAGTGTGGAAATGAGCATTCTAAAATCTTCTATAAATATTAAAAATCACGTGATGAATATTTGATACTTTTCAGATTAATATTATGAAAAATGTCCATATATGCATTAAATAAATCATTATTCACCCACATATACACCTACTTCAGCTGTAGATCACATTACCAGTATTCAATGAAACACAATATGATCCTGATTGGACATTTTGATTGATCTATTTGAAAATTACATTACATCAAAATTGTTATATATTAAATATTTATCAAACTGCTTGCTTAGACATCAGAGGTCAATTCTCTTTGGCTCACAATTTATTGTGCTATTAAATGAGCAATACAGACAAATATGGTTGGGACGAGAGTGAAATTCCTACAATAATATATTGAAAAAATTGACATTAATTTTTCATTCTTATTAATTTGATATCATTTGTTCTATCTTTGTAATATGAGGCAACCAGTTGTTGAATAGATAATCCATTTGTACATCCTTTGATAAAGTTTGATTCTATAACAGCCAATGTCCATCTTTAATTTCTTTTACAAAACAATCCTCTACCTTTTAATTCAACTTTTTGAAAAAAAGAATATTGAGATACAATCTGCAAAAAAAATGTTTGGCAGTTGAAGTCCTTCACATATTATCAAAATTTTTCCAATTTCTTATCTCCCTGTGACCATTTTCTGGTGTATTGTATAGAAATTATATCAAGTTTATTCAACAGTTTAACAACAAAGAGAAACCTTGAAAAAATGACATTACTATTAATGCTGACAACAATACATAAATCAATTATGAATCAAGTAGCCACTTAATAAAAGTCAAACATTTCACTTTGAATTTCAAAAAAGCAAAAACTGGCTTCAATTGGAAAATTGCAAATTCTTCTTGTTTTTCTATCTCTAGCCATTTTATTCAATTCAATAAAACCAGGTTTTTTGTCTTACAATATTAAAAAAAATGGTTTAATAGTTTCTAATTTTATCTATCCTTCTCCTAAAAGAATGCCAATATTCTGTATCGGTAGAGAAAAGGATTCCTACTCCTAAGATGTTTACCTATTATGGAATCAGTTTAAGTTTTTGCAAATCAGTTTGCGATCAATTCAGGAATTGTTTGTAAGTACAAAGGAAAATATAAATTTGAATTAATTATACCTTGAATTTTATTCATCTTTATTTTATTCTCAATTAGAGCTTTTGATAAAAGGATAACATATTGTTTGTTTCACAATGTTACCTCGCCACTGGACGAACAGCTTTCAAATGGTGTATCTGACAATTATAGAAGGAGCAACAATTGTCGTAAGATATCTTTCAGAGTCATTTTATCATTCAATGATTTCTTTGTGTTTTTACAGCATTGCAAACAATTAAAAGTAAATAATGATG